TCTATTTTTCCTTGCATTATGAGTCGCAGGATGCCATACTTATCGCCCCGCATCACATGTCCGAGATACTGTAGCTTTCTTTCTTTAATTGTTAGTTCAATTTCCTTCTCTTTGCCTATTCTTCTCAGTATTTCATTGTTTGTAACTCTATCTACCCAGGAAACCCTCATAATTCTTCTATAGGTCCACATTTCAAATGCGTTAAGTCGTCTCATGGTATCTAGATTTAACGTCCATGATTCCACTCCATAATATAGTACACTGTATACGTATTGTGATATATAAAACATCTAAAATTGCAACGGTTTTTCCCTGGCAGCAAATTTCACGTTCAAGAACAAAGGATAGTAATAAAAACAATTAAATCTATGTACCTATTTCTTAATTATTATCTTGTGTTAGTTATCTTACTCTATGTTAAACTCTTCATTACTATAAAAAGAAGTAACACTTTCTATGGTTAAAATTGTTCAGGTTTATCACCTTTTTTGTAACATTTCACTTGGGCCATAATATATTTACAAGAACCAATGAATTTGATCTCGTTTCCGTTTACATGAGCAGTGGAGCCCCTGTACAGTCTGACAATTAGAAAAAAACCAATATAATAATTATTCGTCACAAAAAGGTAAAAATAAACTCATCTTTTACACCTATTAGGAATATAGTATATGTATGTATGTTTCTTCAACTTGGATTCCGTACTTAAAACTGGTACCAGCTCTACATTCTCTTTACTCCAGCCAGTTAGCAACAGATTCGGGAGTCAAAGTCTTGGTGTCACACTACATACTCATACCTTCGTTTGGATGAGTATGTACACGAATATTATATATTATACTGTCTGAAGTAGAAGAAAGTTTATATGGACCATTACAAAGATTGTTAGTACTGGTCAAATACAAAACCAATCCTTTTAGGGTTGTAGAGGTTCTTGAACACTATTGATTTTAAAATTCTTGCATAGTCGCCAAATGATTTGCAGTTGTAGGGTTTGCCAACGGCTTGGATTAAACTCATACCTTTAAGAATGTGACACTTTTGTTACTTTATAATGGTAATGGTAGATATTTTGACATAACTATAAACTGTCCTATTATAGAACCTAAGGTAGATTTATTTGATGGTATCGATAAAACTCCTACAGGTACAAGTGACATTGGATATGCTGTAAATTCATATTTGAAAATATTCTCATAATATTTATGTTACTTTCAATTGCCTTGGTTCTTAGTATTTTTTATAAAAGCTCTTGCTCAGCATGAATAGTTTTTTTCTTTTCAGAGACAGTTTTATAGTGTTGGAAATGTTGAAAGTACTTCTTGTATGCTGATAAAAATTGGGAGTTCTAAGAGTAAGAAGAAATTTTGCTAGGCTCTTCTCCATTTTTTTTGTATATTATTTAGTAAGGGTATTTCAACAGGGTGTATTGTCGGTCAGATAGCTCAGCGGGCTGTGCGGCTGCCTCTCATTCGCTTCACTGTCGAATGGTTCAGTGGATGTGGGTTCGAGCCCCAGCTCGGTGTACTGAAAACAAAAAGTCTAACGCAGCAGTTTAAAATTCTAGATGAATCTGCGGCTTAGGCTAGGATATGCTGGGATCTGATCGGCCTATGGTGGAGCAGTACGGCAAGAGATAAGGGCTTGCGGCTTGGTGATACTCCTTTATAGATCCCTACCGGACGGGCGTAACGCCTAAAAAACCGGATATATATTTGAACATTTGGCGATGCAATCTTATTAGCTGAAATTACGAGAAGACGATCTACGCTTTTGAAAAATACATTAAATCGTAAAAAACTGATCATGTAGTTTTTGTACAGAATATTCGTCAATTTTCATCCGCTTTTTTTATATTGTCTACGTTTTGACTTGAGTGGTTGCTTAGGTCTCATGATGCACGAAATTCATCTACCATCATGCCAATCATATTGTAGCTTAACAACCATTCGTCTAGTTTGGTGCTGGTTTTAATCAATCTCACGATTCCTCCTGCATCTTTTTGTATTTATATGTTTCAAGCTGGATCTACAAATAGTTGGTTAAAGTGTCTGTTCAAACTTTTCACAACAAAATTTTTTCTCATAAAGTCTTCATGCAATTCTGGAGCCTTATCAGCATGTTTGTACATGTCCAATAAATGTAATGTTCCCCAAAAAGAATAGTTCACATGGTCAAATGCAAAAAAGTGGGGGTACATTTTTCTAAAACCAGAACAAAAATGTATTCTCCAGTTTCCGCTTCTCTCATCAAACGAAAATGGAAATGGACTTTACGGAAAGAAACATGCCGTAATCTGATTTTTGACTCAAGTTTACTGTCATACCTGCTGCTGTTCATTAAAATAATTTAAAACTTCTAATATTAAAAATCTCAGCTCAGTGGATTTCGTGCTATTAGTAAAAAATAATGCACAATGATGCACGTTCGCAATCGAATATACAACACAACAGAATTTCAATGTAAAATCGACCCTAACAACATCGTCATTACTAAAGTCGATTTGAGGTTGACTTCAGATTATGAATCTCGCCCTTCCTCGCATCTCTGCGTTTGCCACTGTGAGTCGTGACATGCATTTCGATTTATTTAATTTTTTCTTAAACTATTTATCCAATCGACATTCTAAACAAACCGACATGTTCTCTGATGTTTGGTCTATAACTTTTATAGAAAGCTATTTTTTGCTAGACCCAATATTTTTCGGGGTAGAGCGAGGAGAAACGATTTTAAAAATATGGGTTTTTAGACTCATTCTAAGTCATTTTGTATGAAGGCACTCCGTATACAACAATGGTTTGACGCATTTTTATAAATAAAATAAAAATATTTTTAATGTCCGGATCGATATGCAAATTTGAAGAATGAATTTTTGGATATCGTAGATCCGAAAAAGGACGAAAAACAAATTAGCACTTCTTTGTAAGGCTCCCCACCACTCCCCTCACGCTACGATTTTTGGACGACCAAGTGATTTTGCATTAGAAAAATATTAGAAACGAATAAAAATAGGTTTTGCACTTTAGCAACAAAGTGCCAACCAAAATCTATTCTAGAATCCTTTGTCCAGTCTATTTACTCTTCAGTATGGAATTGTATTTACTCTTGTACAAAACTAATATTTTTATGTTAAAGCACGATTAGAATGTTAAAATGATAGCTTTTGTTATACAGATAAACTGTTTAGTTTAAATAATTTCTCCTTTTTAATTTTGTACATAAATAATAAACAAAAAGAGCTTTGAGAATAGATTTCACAAATTCAATAAAACAGAGCATTTTAGTAATTCGGTTTATAAAGTTTATGTTGAATTATTTAATAATATACATAAAAATTATAATCATTACTTAGCTTCTGTTATCTTTGAATTTTGTTTTACTACTTCAACTGACCGCTGCCCTTGCAATATTTTTAAAATACAAAACACCATAACCGCAAATTACTTTACTGTTTGAGTAGGAAATATGCAATACAACACGAGCTCCGGTCGCTCGACGAATACTCTTTAGAGCTGGCAACAGTGTCTGATCTCGCGTTGATCTGTAAATATCTAAAATTTCGTATATAAGTCTTCCCCTTCCCTTTTCAGCTACGGATCTCATTTTGTTGTAAATTTATCAAAAAAATTTAAGTTCAAAAATCTTTTCCCCTCTAAGTGTGCCATGATTAATATGTTAATTATAAAGATAGTTATGAACAATATACTCCATTAATTAATTTCCTATTGGTGGATCTCGGGTTGTCCTCGATTTAATCGGATCTCGCCTTGATATGAAGACGTATATATATATATATATATATATATATATATATATATATATATATATATACATATAACATTATTGATCAATAACATCAAATTTTTCTCCTTTACTTGTATCAGCAACATTTCCAACAAAGTATTAAAAATATTTACTTCTAAAATTGAGGACATCAAAATATCTTTTAAGTCACACAAAACCTTAGGTTCGTTTTCACACAAAACAACACACAACAGACAAAACTCATCAAGTTTTGCTCCAGTCACTTTCCAGTTAACATAATTTTAATCTCAGTATCAGTTTATTTATCTTACATGACATTAGTAGAAAGAAAAACTACTTAGAGTTAAATTTATTAAAAGATTTGGAAATTACAAAAGAAACAAATGAAAACTCTCACTGTTTTAATATTTAAATAATTTAAATTGTACCAAATTTAAACGAATTTTTAAAATTTTTATTGTAGATTCACCTTGTAAGGGACCTAGCCTGTTTGGATTTCCTACACTGAGTACAACCCTTAGGAGTTTTGTTGTCTTCATACTTTAAATACTATTAACATTTTAGTCATTATTAACTTACTTAACAAGCTTTTTCGTGATGAATTAATCAGTAGTTGGCGTTAATTAAACTCTCCATATCTTTTTATAATTGAGATATATCATTTCCACAGTTGTATTTTTTAAATTTGATTTTGGAATTCTAAGTATTTCAATTTTATTTTCCAATTTCTTTTTTTCTACACTATTGGTAGTATTTGGTAGACCTTTTTAGTGTAGTCAACCAACTACTAACAGATTGTTTAGTCTAGTTCTAACATTTACACTCTATGTCCACTTCATTTGATCCCAAATTAACACCTAAATTATCACTGATAGGTTTAAGTGTGACATCTGGACTGCGTACTCTACATAAAGTAATTAATATAATTTTATATTTAATTAGTTGACTTTTCCTATATTATTGGAGGGTAATTAGAATATAAATTCTAATTTTTATGCAATTCCGTGGTGACACGGGAAATTACACGATATCTCCGTATTTCACGTTAATTAACTGGCCTAGTAGTGATAATATAAAAATTTTATGAATATTTTGAACTCATATGAATCATGATGGTCACTTTGTTACAGTTTTTGCTATTGTCGTTATTGAGGACTAAAAATTATATCCAATAAAACAAACTAAATAATTTTTTCGTTGTGTATTGAGATTTAAATATCGATTCCTACAAAAGTTTCACTGCATCTTCAATATTTTTACCATTTCTTCTTATGAAGAAACTTTCAAGTAAGCCTTGGAAGCAGTACTGCCCATACTGTTGGCTCCAATACAAGCATACCATCCTTCATCATACCGGTGTACGCTTGCGATTTCATAAACTTCAGGGTCCTTTCTACCATCGTAAGATTTCTAAAAAAAAAAGATAAGATTTTACTAGCTACCAGCTATTACTTGAAAGTCTAGATTATTTACAATGTTTCCTAAAGTGAAAACAAATTTTTTGAAACATATATTTAGTAATTACTAAATTAATTTTTACTTATAATGTAGGCAGTCACATAACAGTCATTTAACTCTAAATAATCAGCAGGTCATTAAAAGGCACCTCTAAGTTAATCTAGATGAGTTTTTAGTGAATTAATTGACTAGAATTTATTAGAGTTTCATAAACCAAGACAATATGAAACTAATGCCAAATAAATATATACTACCAGAAATGACCATAAAACAGAAAATATTTTTAACCAAGAAAACAATGAAACTAAAAACAAGCCAAAGAACACAGGCACCAAAGCATAAATAAAGGAGTGGGCCAAGAAAAAATAGGGTTAAAAAGATGAAACTTATGTTTCTGTCGAGTACAATTTCTATAGAATAATAAGATTACTGAATTCTTGATATTGTCATAAAGAAATGAGTTCTTTCAGATAAACACAAGTATGTTCGTATTCCTCAACCACAACCAACTGCCATCAATGGACCTGTACCTGAACCAGTAAGTTAAAAGACATCGGTCTCTAAGGAGTGTAGTTCCACTATTACTTAAGTAACCTCTTCAGTTCAGTAGGTGTTGTCAAGAGAGAATATATAAATATAAAAATATAAAATGAATTTCCATCAAGTAACGGTCGAAAGATACTTACTTAGAGAAGATGAAAACTTAAATACCACTAACAAAGAAAGAAATAAGAAAATTAATGCATTATTTAGAGAATAACAAAATCCAGGTGAAAAATAATTAACTGCAAAAAAATTAAAAGTGAGCTAATAATGTTGAGATGGAAAATCATAGAGCCAACAAATGAAAAAATTAGGAGAAATCTTAAACAGTAATGGTTATTGCTTAACTGTCCTACTTCAGAAATGCAGAGATCAACAAAAAGATGTCTTCCTATGCTTTATAGATTACCAGAAAGCATTCAATTGTGTTAATCATTCAGAATTAATACGATTGCTCCAAGAACGTTCGATAAATGAGAATGACCTTAAAATCATAAAGAACCTTTATATAAATCAAGTGGCACCTGTGAGAGTGGGACTGGAATCTACATCATGTTTCTCAATCGAAAAAGATGTACGACAGAGTTGTGTTCTGTCACCCCTCCTTTTTAATCTTTACTCTGAAACTATTTTCGATGAAGCCTTAAGTGACAATGAAGATGGAATCATAATCAACGGACAGACTATTACTAATCTTCGCGATGATGATGATACAGTCATAATAGCTGACAGCCAAGAAGTGCTACAACGACTAATAGATAGAATAAACATTATAGGAGAACGAGTGGGCTTGAAGATTAATATAAACAAGACGAAGGTAATGGTGGTTAGTAGAACACGAAATATGTAATTGAATATAAGATTAAACAACAAGAACATCCAAAAGGTTCCCAAGTTCAGATATCTCGGTAGTTGGATAACTGAAGATCTAGATCCAGACATAGAGATACGTAGCAGGATTAAACCTTGCTAAGCAACAGCAGCCTCAACTTGCTTCGATATCGCTTTGTAAAATGTTACATTTACTGTATACTGCTATATGGTGTAGAAACCTGGACCATAAAGGCCAATGTGATGAACCGATTAGAGGCCTTTGAGATGTGGGTATTAAGAAGACTACTTAAAATTCCCTGGACAGGTCACACAACAAATGTGAAAGTATTAAATAGAATGGGCAGAGAACGAGAATTGCTGCCAATAATAAAAAGAAGAAAAACTGTTTATCTGGGTCATATATTTTGAAATTCCAAGTACAAGTTCTTAAAGCTTATTATGGAAGGGAAGATAGAAGGAAAACGAGGCATCGGAAGAAAGAAATACTCATGGCTTAAAAACATAATGGATTGGACAAATCTCGATGCCCATGCACTTTTTAGAGCCACACAAGATCGAGAGTAGTATTCCAGAATTGTCGCCAACATCCACTAATTGGATAGGGCACCATAAGAAGAAGAATGGTTATTGTCGTAAAGCAAATAAGACGCGGTATAAACTAGTACCTAGATTAACCAAGAAAAACCTATTGAAAATAGTAGAAAACAAACTCAGGGATTACCCAAGAGTTTCACAAAGTAAAAGATTTTGGTAGACTTTATAAACTATATGGTAAACTATATGAATATAATATACTAACACGTATGCCCTTCATTTATTTTAAAATATTGTATAACTGGGTGAACTTCTAGAGTCTCTGGTACCTATTACTACTTATTATTTATATATAGGTTAGCACTTAGCACGGTAATAAGACGACAATTAATGACCACTTGAAAAATAGTAAAAAAAAATAGTAAAAACTCTATACTTTGGCAATTATAGGAAAAACAATTACCAGAGTATGCTACTAGAGACCTCTAGTAAGGAAAGATGAAGTTAAATGTGTCGATAGCAATTTAGGGAGTGTTAAGGAGTGGTAAGAGACTTAAATTAAATCGAAACGCAACTGTCTTTGTACATCTATCGTCCTTACTCGACACAATGAGTATGGTAATTTATATGGATAAATTATTGATACATGGTGGAATATAAATATTACCAGCATCGCTCTGAATGGCTTGATTAAGCTTTGGTACACAGTTTACTTTAATTGCTATCGACACATTTAACTTCAATAAACTATAAACATAATATTTGTAAATGTACTATTTTTTGTATCTAAAATTGTAATAAGGTGTAGTAAGTCTAACCTATAACTCCCCATAGGTCTAGGTTTACATGATCACTAGAGCTTTACAAATAGATAAATAAAGATAATATTACAGGAAACAGTAAATACAGTAACCAGTAGAAAGAAGACAAAGAATTTCGGGGGTTAAAATATTGGGACAGGGTGATTCATTATTGTCTCCAATCTTCAAAACGGTATAGAAGAAGAAGAATTAACACGACTCTTACTTGTCCAAAGTTATCTATCTTTGACTTATACCAACGGTATAGGAGCTAGAAAGAGAAGATCAGAGTAGCAAAACAGCTGTAGTAAAGTAAGCATAAAATGTAAGACTCAAAATCAGTTATAGTAAAAGTTTATATCCTACTCCCATCATCGTTCTTTTTGCCTTTATCACTGAGCAGGGCGGCTTTCTTAAAATTATATTGCTTTAACAAATTTCGATATTGGTAATGTAATGGTAATATTACTAATCTTGGAAACACCAATCTCACTCCCTTTCAACGAAGTATCCTGCATAAGGGTCTCCCCTTAAATCTTCTTTGGCCTTCTGTTCTCTGTTTTTGTCTTACTCAATTTGTCATATTTTTAATCCCTTATAAATATAATAAAAATTTAAAACTGTTTTACCCAACACATTCAGAAAAGCGTTCACGATTTTTAAATAAGAATTCGCCAAAAAGGCGCCAGATTCCTTTCATAAATATGTGTGTTATCATTTTCTACCCAGAACTTCTGTGTTTATTTCACAAAACCACAAATGGATAATTTGCTCGCGCAAACTAAAATAACAAAATTTTGACCAATCATAGAAGAGTGGTCAATGTCACATTAAGTCAAAAAAACGGGTCAAGATAAAAAGGGGAGCTTGGATTCATCAGGGGACTTAAGGTGGAAGTAGAAGAGACAACAATGAGTAATCAGATCTTAACGAGTCGCCTACCAATCAACACCACTTCCTTTTCAGACAAGATACCCCCGGGCGAGTTCGTTATTTATTAAGTTGAGATCCTTTCTGTGCTGCAGTGATCTCAGTTTGGGAATCAAGGTACGGATAGTGAGGTGCTACGTTCTTCCAGTGTTACTATATGGAGTTAAAGCCTGGACACTGGCGCAAGCCACTGAAAAACGAATCGAAGCCTTTGAGATGTGGATATACAGAAGGATACTAAAAATATCTTATGTAGACCATGTCACCAACGTTGAGGTCCTACAGCGCATGACAAAAGAAAAAGAAGTGCTTAATTTAATTTAACACCGTAAGCTTGAGTACCTCGGCCACGTGAGGCGGAACGAAGAAAAATATCGAATTCTTTAACTCGTTATGCAGAGTAAAGTATTTGGCAGAAGAGGACCGGGACGCCGTCGTTTCTCGTGGTTGAAAAATCTCCGACAATGGTTTGGGATGACCTCAGTGGAGCTGTTTCGCAGAACAGTCAACAAAATTATGATAGCCTTGATGGTCGCCAACATCCGGATCGGATAAGTCACTGAAGAAGAAAGAAGAGTTAGTAACTACCTGTACTGCGCCTCCCATTCACTTTTCCATTCTACAAGCATAGTTAACTACAAGCATTGTTACTAATTGCTACGTATGATCAGTGCTACTATATGGCGTAGAGGGCTGGACACTCAACACGAGGGCTATAAACAGATTAGAAGCTTTCAAAATGTGGGTTTATTGCCGTATCCTAAAAATACCATGGACAGCGAAAATAACAAATATAGATGTCCTTAAAAGAATAAATCAAGAACGCCAACTTTTCGAAACCAGCAAGGAAAGGAAAACGGTGTATCTAGGTCACATCATACGAAATGAAAAATACCAGTTCCTCCAACTTATAATCGAGGGTAAAATTAAAGGCAAGAGAGGAATGGGACGCAAGAAAATATCCTGGCTCCAAAACATAAGGTATGGACAGGGATTAATGATATACAATATCTGATACATATTACAAGAAATAGAGAATTAATGGAAAATGTGATCGCTAACATCCATTAGTAAATTTGCATCTGAAGAAGAAGAAGAAGCATTGTTTCTCTAATGGCGGCTTTCATATGTTTCAGGTGGCCATCTTAAGTTTCGTAGGAAATGTTTCTCTCTTTGGCTTGGAGATGGATGGGAAGCGTACCTGGAATCATCTGTAGAACCAACGTCAAAGTAGTCCTGTACCCATTTGTTACTTTCAGAAGGGGTTTTCGCTATGCGCTTTTGATCATGTATTTGGTCTTTTGATATTTTATGACGCCTATGTAGACGGGGGTTTCATATAGGAGAGTCTATTATACCACCCGAAGATTTTGTCATACAATACGTCCTAGTTCGTAATCTTATTGGCGTACTTGTTGATAGCATAACTTCTATGTGACTTCGCGACTTAGCTATCTCGAATAAAATCCCTTCATTTCATATTTCCTCTTTTTTGTCGTTTTTTTAAGGTCCTACACAAACGCGATTATGTCACCAACGATTATTAATTGTGTTTTTGTCAGAAATGCCTCTATGATGTTTTTGACCTGCTCTTATGCACATACTCTTATTTATCATGAATATGACTATATCTGACCGTATGTCGTTAACCGAACCAAATATTATCGTGATGTTTTTATTTGGGGACTATAATAAGATTTGATTTTATGTCTAGTGCTTTCACACGTATCAGGTCATATACCTCCTTTGCCGTCCGATGTTCACTTGCAGTATTTTAAGCCTATTTTTCCGACCTTTTTGTCTTTACCGCAAGCTATTTATTCACGATATTGTTTAGAACGCTATCTGGAGAAAGTGGCCTACGTTAGGGTAGGTGTAGCGTGAGGGCTGGAGATAAAACTTTCCTCAGTAATTTTAATGATAGTAGTAAAGCAAACTCTATTAGATGATAGTATCCGTTTCGACGCGTTAATCAGTCAACAAGCTAAACTCTGAAAAAACAATAGGGCTGAACAGCTTCGTTAAATACCACATCATCTACTTTCTGCCCTCCTCAACTAAGGAAGATGATCTAGCAGATCTGGTGGGTGTAATAGGTTCTGTAGGCAGTTACATCGCCTAGGTAGTAGAGCGCGGTAGAGCGGGACGCCTGTTTAGCCAAACCAGCTCTATATAGAGCCTTACCAAAAGCACTACATCGTCCGCTACAGAGAAGATGTCGCTTCTGAAGAACACACCACTCGGGATCTTTGCTGGCTTCATACTTATGGCCCTTTTTTCACACTTAAGATAGAACCCAGGGCGATTAGGACATTACATTTACTGACGTTGGTATGGTAATAGAACCAGCAGCGTTGGTACCTTTTAGTTCCATATCTCTTTTTAATTTCGCAGCGCGCGAAGCCGACCTTAAGATATCCTCTATAATTGTCTTAGCCTTATGGAAGCAAAAGACAACTTTTAGCTATTGCTTTCTGTGCCTCCTCTAAGGGTTGAGAGTACGAAGTGCCTTTCTTGGATATTATGAAACCGTAAGTAGGCCATAAACAGCCCCGTAAACAGCGGAGAGTTTTCTGAAGACTGGCTAGAGTCAACTTTTGTTGCGATACCGAAAAAACCAAAAGCAAATTCTTGTGATCAACATCGGATGATAAGTCTAATTAACCACATACAGCAAGGTTATTTACAACAGAATAAGCAAAAAATGCGAGGATAACATTGGAGATTCCCAGTTTGGGTTTCGGAATTCTCTTGGAACAAGAGAAGCATTTTTTAGTCTACAGGTACTCATCCAGCGCTGCAGAGATATGAACAAAGACGTGTACATATGTTTTATAGACTACACACAAAAGCATTCGATAACGTAAAGCACGAAAAGATAATTGAAGTTCTCCATAAGATCGGAGTCGACTACAGAGACATTCGAACAATAGCGAGTCTCTATTGGGGTCAAACAGCTAAAGTGAAAGTAGGATCTACATTGACCAATAAAATTGAGATCAAGAAAGCGGTACGACAGGGCTGTATCTTGTCTCCTATTATCTTTATTATATACTCAGAAGAGATATTTAAGACAGCGCTGGATGAAAGCAAAGAAGGCATAAAGATAAATGGAGAAATAATTAATAACATAAGGTATGCTGATGACACTGTGATTATAGCAAGTAGCATGGAGGAACTGAGTTGCCTAATAAGTAAGGTATAAAAAAACAAGTGCACAATACGGACTCAGACTAAATATCACAAAAACCTAAATCACCTATATCACAAAAAAGACTAAATATCACAATAGATGTTAGTAAGCAAAACCCAACAACCACCACAGTAACTGATATTAGACAATGAAATAATTGAACACGTGGATTCGTACATCAACTTAGGAACAACAGTTAACTCAAATTGGGATCAAGCGAAGGAAATACGTATAAGAGTAGAAAAGGCAAGAGTATCGTTCACTAGCATGAAGCAAATTTTCACTTCTAAAAACCTCACCCTACCTCTCAAAATTCGACTTCTGAAATGTTATGTGTTCCCAGTTTTGTTATATGGAATGGAGGCGTGGACAATAACCGCAACATTGATGAAAAAAGTAGAGGCCTTCGAAATGTGGGCTTACCGACGTATATTACGTATATCCTGGACTGAGCACGTGACCAACGAAGAGGTACTACGCCGGATAGGTAAAGAGAGAGAGGCAGGAATAAGTACAAAGAAAAGAAAGTTGGAATACTTGGGTCACGTTATGAGACATAATAAATATAGAGTACTACAGCTGATCGTTCAAGGGAAAATGGACAACAGAAGGGGTGCAGGAAGGAGAAGACAGTCGTGGCTCCAAAACTTGCGGCAATGGTTCGGATTGTCATCTGCTGAACTATTCAGATCTGCCGTAAACAAAGTCAGAATGGCCATGTTGATTGCCAACGTTCGGAACGGACAAGGCACATAAAGAAGAAGAAAGTAGGCGATCCCACTTAGTAGCTGTCCTAAAAATATGGCACAACCACCTCCGAATTTTTAAAGATGACTTCTGCCATCTTCCTTAAGTCAGTCAATAGTATGAAGCTACCGTGCTGCAAGCACCAGAGGTCTTCCAGTGTACCCGTCACCCTAATTTTTTAATTTCGTCGTTTTACTACGTCGACGTTCACCTTATCTGATTATCATGGTCTGCCCTAGGACCTTAAAGTCTCCTTCGAGGCTGGAAAACTCTGGAAAGTTTTTGTGCATCCGTTAGATTAAGAAGGTCATTGAGGGATCATTTGGTTTGAGTGGAACAATTTTAATGTTGCGCTTGTCAATAGGAACAAGATAAAGCGGAAAGAACAATCGTTAAAGAAAAAGATTAATAGTACGTCCTACTTAACTTCCTTAAAGGATATGGTACACTAAAAAGAAGAAAGAGATATAAACAAAGAAGGTGAGCCATGCCCATATTTATTTTAACTCACTGGCAAAGGTCTGATCTTTAAAAAAACACTATCACAAAAACAAAAGTGGGTATTGTCCAAACCAACGTGAAGTTAAGTTTTACTGTATAGATCGTAAACATGGAATTATCGCAAGAAACCGTGTCTTAAATTATACTTAATTTTTTATTAACAAATATTTAAGCTTTATATGCACTATATTATACCTAACTATTATTACAAATCAAGAACTATGGAGGTTAGCCAAAGAAGAATAAGCAGATATATTATTAAAACCAACAAATTTATTGCTTGACAAATTCTGAATTAAAAAATTCAAGGAACTAGAAAAAAGTAGACCAAGTCATTCATGAAAAAAACTAATAAAAAAAAGAACAAAAAGAAAATTATTTCAAACGGAACGAAGCAACAAGCTTAGCAAGAAACGGAAGAGAACGGAAATAATCGGACAGTAATCAATAGGTGGTGCGTGAGATCAATATTACCACCATCAAGTAAAATATCGTACGGTACTCGTTATTCTAGTTAAAAAAAATATCATACAAGAAGTTTAGTCATATCATCATTCATAACATTTGACGGGGTCACAGTCAAAATTTCAAGAATAGTTCTAGATCAACAAATATAAGCTCAAAAATTAGAGTATCTTATAGAAATTCTAATATCTAACAATAATATAAGACTAAAAATAAACAAGTAATAAAGCGTAACAAAAAACTAGATATACAAAAAAATGTTCAAAAAATGTAATTGGTATATTTAATGTAAATTTAACATAAATATACTATTTACATAAAGAGATGTTTTTACACTTCCTTTGAAACTTTTTTAAATAAGGTTATAACTGCTGAAAATTTCCCCTTATCAGTTTACAGACATTATAAATATGAACAATATGTGTACCTGTAGCAGATCAGCATCGCAGTCTTCGGAATCTGTGAAAGAACAGTGAGCATTGGAAGTCTTCATCCACATTATGAAAGGTTTGGTATCTGAATCAAACTCGCATTTGAATTGAACTCTGTCTCCAATTTTGGCATTTACATCTTGAAGCTTTTTAACGAGACGTGGTGTATTGTGTGAACGCTCTAAAACATTTAAGCAATACTAATTAAAGTCAAACTAATTTTTAAAATATCTTTGTATACTGGTATACATGATTTTTAGTGTTTACTTTTTTATTTAATTTGTAAAAATATATTTAGCCTTCATTTTTTTTGTCAATATATGTTTCGTTCATGGAACAACAGGTGCACAGTACAAATTATAATAAAGAAGGGATAAGGTTATTTTAGTTTTACAATAGGTACTATAGCTACCTTCTTAACCATTAGTGTAAACCTTGGGTAGTGGGGTCTTGATGCCAAAAATAACTGAGCTGATAATGGTAAGGATTAATAACTTAGAAGTACGTATATATATATATATATATATATATATATATATATATATATATATATAAGAGTAAGAAAAAAGAAGTACTTGTGACTCGTTTGGAAAAAATATAACACTGTTTTTGATGAGTTGGAGTCAATAGAAGGGGCTATTTGTTGACTATTTTTTACTCGAGCTTTCAATTGTGATTACAATTTTTATCAAGAGCTTCTAAAAAATACAAAATGTCTTACAAAGTTGAACTAGAAATAAAAAATTTTTTGTTAACTTACCAAATAAAATTAGTTTTTATATAAAAATACTGCTTACATAATACATACAAAAAATATTAATAAAAAAATGCCTTATTCTAATAAATGATTCTCTGAAAAATTTAGATGAAGTTTCTTAAGAAAAAATTGAATTTATAAACAAAAATAGAATAGCTACAACCAGCCTAAAATGACATAAATACTAACTTAAAAATTTTTATTTTTGACATATTGTCAAAAATAAAATTTTGTTTAAAAAATTCTTCTTTGTTAAGTAACAAAAAAGAAGAAGATTTATTCACCATTGATAGATGCCCGAAAAAATGTAACAAATACATGGAAAATTCAAAATGTGATATTTTACTGACTGCATAAATTAAATAGAAATTATATAATTATAAATTTTGCTTAAATTTTGAATTTCTGACCTTTTGTTTAAAGAGAATCATTTATTAGAATAAGGCATTTTTTTATTAATATTTTTTGTATTTATTATGTAAGCAGTAGTTTTATATAAAAACTAATTTTATTTGGTAAGTTAACAAAAAATTTTTTATTTCTAGTTCAACTTTGTAAGACATTTTGTATTTTTTAGAAGCTCTTGATAAAAATTGTAATCACAATTGAAAGCTCGAGTAAAAAATAGTCAACAAATAGCCCCTTTTATTGACTCCAACCCATCAAAAACAGTGTTATATATATATATATATATATATATATATATATATATATATATATATATATATATATATATATATATATAGTAAACTCTTAAATATTGGGGAAATCTGCAAAAAAACTCTAATGTGTATCAATTATTTCACCTAACTTTTTCGCCAAAGAGAATTTGGCTTCTTCAGGGCTGAAAGAGAATAAATTATAATTAGCTACCATATATTATCTAATAAAAAACATTTACCTTACCGTGAAATTTTAGAAATGTCGAGTTATGATGTTAAAAAACTTTAGCTAGTAACAACATAGTGGTGTTTTTTTGTTACTATGTGCAAAAAAGTTTATTTGTTAACGTTGGAAATGTATGGTAGCTTTGAACTTAAAACGCAAAGGTTTACCCAAGGACAATCGAAAAACCCAATGTAACTACATTTAAAGGAAGTAATTCTTTGAATTGTCGGCAATAACTAAATTTTTAATTGTTGTAAAGTTTGAATGTGAGCTTCTGTTTTCATAGAACGCAAGCGCCGAAACAATTACAAGTAGTTCTTTTGATATAAAAGTCGTTAAGGTTCATTGGTAAAACCGATGAAGTTAGATCCCAGTCTGGGGAGATATTAGTTTAGAATTTCTAATTGAAATTCTTTTTTTTTTAATTAGTATATTGTTCATGTATTATTGTAATAATATTTTATTGAGATGTATCTAAGAAAAGCAAGGGAATGTTATCTTTTTTTGTTAATGAAAATTATTATTAAAGTAGGTTAGTTGTTAATAGATATATCAGTCAAGTTGGTTATCTGTGATGTTGTATTGTTCTTGGTATCTGATTTAAGTAAGAAGTGGTATATATCGCTTAGATTCTTAATGTCACTCTTAACATTGATGGAAAAATCGTTAAGGAAAATATAAGACATTTTAATGAACTCCCTTTTAGATTTATTGCTCTCACTTTATCACTCTCACAAATCTAAAAGAGAGTTCATTGAAATATCTTATATTTTCCTTAACAATTTTTCCATCAATGTTAAGAGTGACATTAAGAATCTAAGCGATATATACCACTTCTTACTTAAATCAGATACCAAGAACAATACAACATCACAGATAACCAACTTGACTGATATATCTATTAACAACTAACCTACTTTAATAATAATTTTCATTAAGAAAAAAAGATAACATTCCCTTGCTTTTCTTAGATACATCTCAATAAAATATTATTACAATAATACATGAACAATATACTAATTAAAAAAAAAGAATTTCAATTAGAAATTCTAAACTAATATCTCCCCAGACTGGGATCTAACTTCATCGGTTTTACCAATGGACCTTAACGACTTTTATATCAAAAGAACTACTTGTAATTGTTTCGGCGCTTGCGTTCTATGAAAACAGAAGCTCACATTCAAACTTTACAACAATTAAAAATTTAGTTATTGCCGACAATTCAAAGAATTACTTCCTTTAAATGTAGTTACATTGGGTTTTTCGATTGTCCTTGGGTAAACCTTTGCGTTTTAAGTTCAAAGCTACCATACATTTCCAACGTTAACAAATAAACTTTTTTGCACATAGTAACAAAAAAACACCACTATGTTGTTACTAGCTAAAGTTTTTTAACATCATAACTCGACATTTCTAAAATTTCACGGTAAGGTACAACTCGCTCTACGGATACAACCGTATGTACCTAACAACCGTAAAATTAAATCGATCGAGAACTATTCCCAAGTCTCTTATGTCAGCCAGTAGGCACTCATACTATTCATCTCATGAAATACTCATTCTGCCATTGAGTATTTTACTGCCATTTACCCAATTGCCAAATTCTATTGGTAAGTTCTTATTTTGAAAAATTCAAATTCTTTATATTTTCGCTATGAAAAGAAAAATAAGCCAAGCGTCTCTTAGAAGATAAACTTGTTGACATTTGCCACGCTGCTGCAAATATCTACTTCTAAACTTTACGTTTAACACAGCCTATTTTTAGTTTTGAAGTTTGGCGTGTGCTTTGGCGCTAATGAAGACGAATCCGCAAGGTATTCAACAGAATTTCTAAGTTCTCTGAATATACCAGAGATGCCACCACACAATCTTTAGTTGAAAATTGGTTTACCAATTATTCTGCTACGCAATTTGAAACTGACCAGAATATGCAACGGCACACGTTTGGTCATTAAAAGTATCACCGGAAATATTATTGAAGGAACAATTTTGATTAAACGATTTAAATAAAAAATGGTCCTGTTGCCACATATCCCAATTATACCTATATATACCTACAATAACATTCAAAAGGCTTCAATTCCCTGTTCTATTAGCATTTGTCTGCACCATTAACAAATCTCAAAGTCAGAGACAATCTCCGTTTGCGGCTTGGATTTATAAAATCCATGTTTTTATATGGTGTATTATCCATTATATGGTGCATGATTACGTGTTGGTAGACCATCAAATTTATTTATATTAGCAAAAAAACAAATTAAAGAAAAACATTGTGCACCAATTAGCAATTAATTGAATGTTAATTGATTGGTATAATTTAGTAGGTATATTATAATTATTTGGAGTAAAAATCAAACTTTTCATACCTCCTTATTATATTTAAACTTAGAAATCAAATTTTTTGGTAGATTATGTTTAATTCATATTATAAATCATTCATATCATAAATTTTATTTTTTGACGCTAACCTCTGACAGCTCTTAGATAATAACCAAGCTACAGCAAAGCGTGGCCGGACAATTAATATAATAGTATGTCTTCTAAACGGGTTAGAGAAAGCCATAACTATTATTTTATTTAAAAGCCATATACTGACAAGATGTGAGGTAGTACATTCTAAGTCTATAGATAGAAGGATTAAGTACTGTAATGCAAACTATACTTAGCATCTGCTCTGCACATTCTTACTGGTAATTAAACATATTCTCAGCATAAAGTATTTCTGAAAAGCATGTTCTGCGAATCTCCTAAAAATATGAAATTGTTATGTGGGATAGAGCGTTTGAACAACTTCAAATAATATTAGAAGAAGAGATCGAAGGAGATAGAAGTATAGAGAGAAAGAACAATCATGGCTGCGTAATATATTAGGATGGGCCCATACAACCGGAAACTTATTCTTAAAGCTCAGGATAGACAAAAAGCCATTTTGATCGCAATCCTTAATCGAGAACGGTCTTATTAAAATGAAGTGCACCATTAGGGGACAGAACTTCATCATCATCATCTTGGTGCTACAGTCCTTAGAGGGCCTCAACCTTCTCAAGCTCTCTACGCCATTATGTTCTGTCCCTTGCTTGCATTTTCCAGTTGCCGACTCCGATCTTCTCCTCATCTTGTGTTACCCCATCCATCTACCTCAGCTTTGGTCTACCCCGTCTCCTCATTTCCACGGGTTGCGCTGTTAGAATCTTTTTTATCATGTTCGATTCAGGGTCCCGGGCTACATGTCCTGCCCACTGCATGCGGTTTTGCTTAATTCTAGTGGTAATATCTTTACCACCAAATGTATGCTTGTAGATATTCTGCAGTTCAAAGTTATATCTACGCCTCCATATACCGTTCTCACAGACCGCTCTGAATATCTTGCGTAGCACCTTTCTTTTAAAAATCGATAGAGCGGATTCATCTGTTTTAGTTACCGTCCATGCCTCTGATCCATATGTGAGAACGGGGACTATCAGTGTTCTATACAGCCTTATACGAGTTTTTTGAGACAGACGTTTGTTAGCTAAGTACTTTAATAGACCATGATAACACCTGTTTGCAATTATTATTCGCCTTTTTATTTCCTCAGATGTGTTATTATTGGGGTTAACCGATGTCCCTAGATATATGAACTCTTTGACTGCTTCGAAGTTTTGGTCATTGATGATTAAATTTGTGTCAACATATCCAGCTCTTGTGTTCGTGTTAGTCGCCATGAATTTGGTTTTATTTTGATTTATATGTAATCGTTCTGCTGCTGCTACTTACTCGGTTAGGATTTCCGCAGTTCTCGCTCTGATTCTTGTTATAATGTCCACGTCGTCTGCATATGCTAAAATTTGGACTGGTCAATTAAATATTGTTCCCCTGCTATCTAAATTAGCGTCTCGTACAATTTTTTCTAGGGCGACATTAAAAAGCTGACACGCCAGCGCGTCTCCCTGCCTTAACCAACTATGTATTTTAAATAGGGTTGACGAGTTGTTTTGAATTTTTACTGCTGATAGCATCTTCGCCATTGTCACTTTTATCAAGCATATGAGATTTTTTAGAATTCCTAACTCATATATAGCATTGTAAAGACTTGGTCTTAAGACACTGTTATATGCCGTTTTAAAATTGAAAAAATATGATACATATCTATGTTAAACTCTTGCGCTTTTTCGAGAATCTGTCATAGTGTAAAGATCTGGTTAATGGTTGAATCCTGCCTGATATTCTCCTAGAAACATTTCAGTATAAGGCTTTAATCTCTCGTGCAAAATGTTTGACAATATCTTGTATACTGTATTTAGGAGAACTATCCCGCGGTAATTATTGCATTCCAGTTGGTTTCCCTTTTTGTGTAACGGGCAAATTAAGCCTAAGCTTCATTCTTCAGGCATTTGTTCCTCAGACCAAATTTTACAAACAATTTCTCGCATCACCTTGGAGAGCATCCTCTCCACCGTGCTTAAATAACTCTGCTGTGATGCCATCACTACCTGGGGATTTGTGGTTCCTTAGTTTTTCTATAGATATTTTCACTTCATCTACCGAGGGGGGTTCCACGAGTTCCTAATTTCGGTATTCCAGCTCTATATTGTGAGTAGGTTCCCCTTCCAGCAACTCTCGAAAGTGCTCTACCCATCGTAAAAGGATATCCTCTTTGTTAATAAGTAAGTTACCTTCCTTATCATTACAATAGTTAATTTTTAGTTTCAGTTCTTTTTTAATAATATTTATTTGATGATAGAACTTTCTTTTATCTCCGTAACTCAGATGGCTTTCGAGCCGTTCTAATATGTAATTTTCCGAGTCTCGTTTCTTTTTTCGGTGTATGCGTTTTTCCACTCTCCTTAAGTTTTGTTATCTATCTATTGTTGTTCTAGTTTTTCATTGTTGCATGGTCCTAAATGCCTCATTCTTCTCATCTGATATTTTTTTGCAGTCTTAGACGAACCAGTCGTTTCTTTCTTGTGTTCGGGATATTCCCAATATGCTTTCGGCTGCTAATCTCAGAGCCTTCTTGCAATTGTACCACATTTCCGTGCTTGACTAGTCGACTGCCCATGTGTGTTCTAGGGTTTGTTTTATATGTGACTTGTCTAGTGCCCCTTTCTTTCTTGGCATTGGAAATTCTTTGATGTAACATGGACCCTACCATTAAATGGTCTGAGTCAATATTTGCGCCTCTGTAACTTCTAATGTCCATTAGGTTTGTAAAGTGCCTTCTGTCAATTATAACATGGTCCATTTGATTTGTGGTGTGTCCATTTGGTGATATACAAGTTGCTTTATGGATATTCTTATGAATAAAACGTGTACTTCCCACAATTCAATCTTTGGAAGCTGTCATACTAATAAGCCTTAAACCATTGTCATCAGTAACGTCGTGAAGGCTGTGTTTACCAATGTAATCTTGGTAGCATATCTCTTTTTCTATCTGGGCGTTCATGTCTCCAATGATTATTTTAATATCGTTTTTGGCACAGTTATCATATGCTCTTTCAAGATCTTCGTAGAATAGATCTTTAATTTCTTCGTCTTTTTCCTTGGTTGGCGCGTGCATGTTGATCAGGTAGATGGTAAAAAATTTTCCTTTTATTCGAAGGATGCATAACCTATCATTTATGGCTTTAAAACCAATAATACAATTTTTGTTTTTCTTTGATACTAGGAATGCGGTTCCGAACTCATGTCGGTTCGGATTGCAGCAGTATTTTAGGAGTTGATCTTGCATCAGCTTCAGTCCCGCTATCCTATACAGCGTTCTTACATTCCAAGTACTGATCTTTAAATCATTGTCCTTATTTCTTTGCGTGGGTCATCTTGCGTCTTGAATTCAGTCCGGCTTTTCTATCTCGAGATTTCGTAACATTAGGTTTTTATGGGATGAGGGAGTTAGCCTCATACCCAACCCCCTTTTCGGAGGACCATTTCTCCTTTCCTCGTCAGCCCTGACCCTACCTTCCACTAGGGTTAGTTACCCACTCTCCAGTAGGGTTGTGCAGGTTTACCGGGGTTCACCCGTGTGATCCGGATCACACTTATCGGAGGTGAGCATAGGAATTAAGTAGGAGAGGCGAGGTGTTATCTGGAAGCAACACCTTATGTGCATCACTACTCCATTTAAGGCCTAGGGGACAGAACTATAATTATAAAAGTACGAAAAACATTACAGACACGATAATACGAATTTGAAAAGTAAAATAGATCTATTTGGTCCCACAATTAAATTCAGAATATTGAATGTGAAAATAAAGTGGGAATTAATTGACCGACTACTTAAAGCAGATGTAAATTTAATAGACGAGAGAAGTGAAAGATAACATTACAAAATAAGAGTTAATTTTATGTATATCAAGAGTAGGAAAATTATAATATATTATACATTTTCAAGTAGAAAACAAGCTCTAAGCTATCCTCAGTTCAACTTTTTTTATTAATTCTTTCTAAATATTTTGATAGTGGATATTTAATAAAAGCTGAGAGGCTACAAGAAAAAAGTCTAAAAATATAATTCTGTCTTATTTTATATTTTAAAATAATGATCACTTACCAGTTACTTCTACTTTGAATGTTAAATCCTTACAGCCAACTTCATTACATACTTTGCACGTGTACTCTCCGGAGTCTCCGGCAACTAAATCTTCTAATACCAAAGACCATTTCTTGGATTTTGTTGGTGTAAGTCGACGTGGGAGTGGGGATAAACCGTCTTTGTACCAAGTTATATTAGGTGTTGGAGATCCACTAGCTTCACAATTAAGCCTCAACGTGGAACCAGCAGATTTTACTATATTCTTCTGAATTCTTTTCTGATGTAGGAATAGAGGACCTTAAAATAAAGATTACTAAAGTTAATTATAAATTTATTAAATGAACATAAATATGGAAAATTAGTTTTCCATGAACGAACTAAGGATAAATAATATATTTTTTAATCATAACCCGCTAAGAACCTAAATAGGTACACAGTTGTTCCTAAAAGTGGAGAGAGATCGATGGTACCCTAACAGTCACCAAAAAGTAGTACATACAATAGCAATATAAGAAATGAGAAGTAATTAAAATCTGCGTTGAATGTGGTATCAGATTAAAGTGTATAAAATGTCAGTTCGAAAAAATTACGGAAATACCTACTATCAAGAACCATAAAAATTGCCGAGGAATATAATAAAATAAGAACCTACTCCTACGAATTAGTAAGAAAACCAAGAAAAATCACTAGTAGACATTTACAAAATGAATAGAGTAGAACTTGTTCTAACAAGTTAGTTAGAACAACTTAGCTAACTTTAGATATTGCCGACAAATCAAAGAATTAATTCCTTTTAGATGTAGTTACATTGGGTTTTTCGACTAACCATGGGTACACCTTTACGTTTCAGGTTCAAAGCTACCATACATTTCCAACGAGAACTTTTTTCACATAGTACCAAAAAAAACCACTATATTGTTACTAGCTAAGTTTTTTTCATCCTAACTCTACAATTCTAAGTTACATTAAGATCTCCTGAACTGAAGAACTGAATTGATCAGTTCATTTAATGTCTATGTCCCATTTTACGTTTTGAATCTTGACAAAGACAAGGGTTTCCAGTCGAAACGTTGATTGCTATGGAAAATAAAATCTAGTTCCACATGTTATATATATTTTATTGAACCTAAACCCAAGAAATAATAATTGGTTATTAAATATAGTACGGTTCAAGAAACTCAAAACTACTATATATATATATATATATATATATATATATATATATATATATATATAGGTTATTCCACGAATATACGACTGTTTTGTTTTACGGCGACAACGAATATTTTATTGTGCAAGTAGAAGTATGAAGGTAAATTGGTCCAATCATTATTCCAATAAAAAGGGTCTACTAGTGTGACATCTAAACTAAAATTATTTCAGTTAAAATTTACAAATAAATACAATGACGTCTATGAAGCCGAATGTGTTCATCAGACATTTGGGTAAGCTTTTCGTGAAATGTAAACACCAAAGAAGCGTGCAGGGTTTCTTTGATATGACACTAGTTTATTACTTTATTAGGTATTACAATTGTAATAAAAAGAAATGTACTATTTTTAATATAAATGAAAAGAAATTGGCAGAACGATGGTTCAGAAACCAGAAAAAGGATCTAATATTTCACGTTGTTAGTTTTAAATATTTGTTTGCTTTTAGTTTATGTACTCTTAAAAGTTCCGAAAGTAACGGGTATAACATACCGGCTATTGATAGTTAAAGTACCGAGTCGTTACAGATATTAAAAAGTAACGAAAATTTATATACCTACAGTTTCATATAACACCGACTGATTATAGCTGTGAATCTGATCGTTGATGATAGTTTTTGTTTTTTTAATACTAATTGAATATTCTACTAAATAAATTACACTATTTGATCACTTAAAGTATTGTTACATTTCGTTTAAATCACATAATTCAAAAACCAACTTGTTTGCAATACTAAACTCCATGATAGTAATTATATACTTCAAAATCTGAATTAGAACTGTTCTATAGACTATTAACTTTATATTTATATCATGACTTCATATTTAAATCTAAGGTTTATCTGTCGTAACAGTATTTTAAAAATGGGGAGAATTTACTATTGTACAATTCACTACATTAGACCATTTAAATCGACACCTTTAAGCGAATTTAAAACAGTCGTATATTCGTGGAATGGAGTATATATATATATATATATATATATATATATATATACATATATATATATATATATATATATATATATATATATATATATATATATATATATATATATATATATAGATATATATATATATATCCGGTTTTTTAGGCGTTACGACCGTCCAGTAGGGATCTATGGAGGAGTATCACCGAGACGCAAGCCCTTATCTCTTGCCGTACTGCTCCACCATAGGCCGATCAGATCCCAGCATATTCTAGTCTAAGCCGCAGATTCATCTAGAATTTTAAACTGCTGCGTTAGACTTTTTGTTTTTTTCTGTACACCGAGCTGGGGCTCGATCCCACATCCACTGAACCATTCGACAGTGAAGCGAATGAGAGGCAGCCGCACAACCCGCTGAGCTATCTGACCGACTATATATAAATATATACCGGGTGGTGAATCGTCAAACGGACCATAGGAAACTCAATGAGAAATTTTAAATTGTTGAATTGCTGCTTCCCTAATTATTTTAGATCAAAAGTCATAAAAAACTATTTGTAGAGGACTAAAATCTGAATTAAAAACAATTGTTAAAACCGTTCTACGAATCAAATGTACTTCAAAATTTTGAAAAAATGTGATACATTTTTCAGACCACCCCTAAAAGTTAGGCCACACGTAATGCAAGAATATATATTAGGACGTTTGTGTTTTATCATATTAATGTCAGATGTTTGACAATTTGAATTGTCAATTTTTTTATTTTATAATTAATTTATTAACAATGAATTTTACTAAATACTACTACTACTGAACATTATTACTTTGTGAACAATAAATTATATTTTTTACAAATCGATCAATATAATGAAATGTACTCAGTTGACGAAAAATCGCATAATGTTGTATTCAGGCAATAGCGCGAACCTTTTCCTGCCACTACCGGATCTTTATTTAATGTAAGATATTCTAATTCACTAAAATTTAATTCCATGTTAAGTTAAGTTATACAACAATTCAATGAATTCCAATATACTGTTACTGTGATCTTTATTCCTAATAATAATATATGATTATTTCTAAACATAAAACTATAATAAATGTTATAATAAAACATGAATAAAACATTTTTATTATTGCTTTTTTCTCCTCAACTGAGTACATTTTTTAATCAACTTAATTTTTTTTAAACAATAAATCACAAAATTTTGGCCATTTAAATCATAGATAAATATAATATACCTAAATTGATTTAAATATTGTCATATATCAGAAACAATAATATGACAAAACGCAACACGTAGTACACATTTTTTCACAGAAAAATGTATTATATTTTAGCAAAATTTTGGAATACGTTTAAGTCGAAGAATAATTTTAACAGTTGTTTTCGATACATATTTGAGTCCTCTACAAATAGTTTCCCATGACTTTTGGTGTAAAATAATTAGGGAAGCAGGAATTCAACAATTTAGAATTTACCATTGAGTTTCCTATGGCCCGTTTGCCGATTCACCACCCTGTATACCATATATACTGTGTGTCAGCCAAATGGTATAAATTAGCTAATAAATAGATAAGGGAGTTTTCGAAAAAAAAACGGTAAAAAATGTCGAGTTTTATACAGGGTATATCAGATAACGGTGGCAATTACCAATTTGCTTATTTTAAATAGAACACCCTATATATGAATTAATTTTTAGATATTATTTTAGACATTTTTTGAATACAATGCCCTATATCTATTTTTGACTGTTTCGAAAATATTAAGTAAAATGCAAAAATTTACATTTAGAAAAGAAAGTTATCTATTTGCCAAAAATCGTTACAACGTATATTGAAAAACTTCAAAATAATACAAATTTAAACAATAATGTCAATGTAGGAGATGTACAAAATACTCCCCACGAACTTTTTGGCAACACCATAACCGTGAATAGAAATTTCTTCTAACGTTACTCAACAACTCGTTATTCGTCTTCGTAAGTCAGATAAGTCAGTGGGTTTAGTTTTATATACAATACTTTTCACACATACCCATAAGAAAAAGACTAATAGCGTCAAATCAGGGGATCGTGTTGACCATTCCACCGATTCTCGGAAATATTTGGTGGAAGTACTGCCAGACATGAATTTGGTAGTGGGTGTTGCCCCATCTTGTTGAAACTATATTATATTCGCTGGAACTTGTGGGTTTACTTGATCAGGATACGAGTTGACCAATGTTGGCACTACATTATTTTAAAGCAATGCTAAATAGTTGTCGCTATTCAAATTGCCATCTATGAAAAAGGTACCTATGATCTGATTTTTAATAATTCCTGCTAACATGTTAACCTTCTCAGGGTATTGAGTATTGTCTCCTTTCATATTTATTTCAGGCTGAAACATCAAGACGGAGCAGAACTAATCTGACTTGATAATGGCACCTTGCCGAAACGTCGTCAAAACAATGGTTTTTCTAAAAACCAAAATTATTTAACGCGGAGTCAAACCCGGAAAACATCTGACATCATATATATATATATATATATATATATATATATATATATATATATATATATATATATATATATATATATATAGAAGAATAATGGGCGCATTCTGTGAGAATGGTATTTGGAGAAGGCGATATAATTTCGAATTGTACGAGAAGTATAAAAAAATAGTAAATGGTAGAGATGTAATATCCTTCATAAAAATAGGTAGGCTTAGATGGGCTGGACATGTGTCAAGAGCAAATGAAAATTACCCACCCAGACGAACTCTATTATCGGTCCCAGTGGGAAATAGGAGTAGAGGCAGACCACGACTGCGATGGAGGGACGGTGTGGACGAGGACGCAAGGAAGATCGGCGCGGCAAATTGGCAACGGTTGGCGATGAACAGAAACGACTGGCGAAATAGACTGGGGAAGGTCAAGGCTCAACTAGAGCTATATATCATCCATATATATATATGGATGATGATGATATATATATATATATATATATATATATATATATATATATATATATATATATATATATATATATATTGGAAATTATAATTTATACATATAACGAAAAATTCTGCAAAATAAAAGTTACATAATCAGGAATCTTAGATATGCGGACTATGCCCTAATTTTAGCCTGCTAAGGAGTGAAACTAATAAAAATAATAAACTAGCTGGACAAGATAAACAAGGAATACGGTTCTATAAGCTGAACAAGAAAACGACTCGAATCATTTCAATAGACCGCAATCTTTCCAACATAAAAAATATTGACAACTCATTTACAGATTTAGAACATCCTGTCGAAAGTCTAAAACTAACTATTATTCAAAAGACTCAGAAATATCCCAATAAAGTAAACGAAAACTATTAAACAAATTCATCTTTCCTATTGCCACATATGCATCTGATACGTAGGTCATCAGCAGAAAAAATAGATGCCTCTGAAATATGTTCTTACAGAAAAATGAGTCGAATATCATACACAGCACATTATACCAACATTTTAATTATAAAGTAACTCAAGGTCAATACAAAACTGTCAACAAAAAATCCTACTTCGGACACATAAAGCGATGAACAAGTGGCTTAAAAAAATTGATCGTGAAGGAGAAAATCTGAGCAATCGGGACCCGATGTCACTATACTCTTTTGTGACTATATATATATATATATATATATATATATATATATATATATATATATATATATATAATATCCGATTTATAGAGTCCCTCGCCTTCCGGTTCCCAGTTTTTATTCACGTCTATCGACCCAGTCACCTTGTGATCGTTCTCTAACATTGCCCTTTGGACTCCATCAAGCCATGTTCAATCAGCTATCTCATATTATTGGACGCAGAGCCGCCCCATACTTAGAAAGAAGTTCGGATAAAGAGAAAGGGATAGGTACATATATTGCCAAATTGTATAATTAAATTGTTTTATGGTACGGTGTTTTAAAATATAACACATCTTGAAGAAACTCAAATTCCCCGATCTTCCAAAAAATTCTCCCAATCAGCGCCCTGTTTCAAACAAGAAACAATCAAATTTAAATAAAACTAAATAAAAAATAAATAGTTACCTTGTGTGTATTCTGAAGTTACTAATTCAGCTAGTAAAAAGCATAGGAGCAGACTGGCATAGGTCCTCATGGTTAATGCTCTGAAAATATGTTAAGAAAAATATAGTTTTAAAAATAATGCTTCCTGCTAGAGATTCCTGTTCTAACACTCGAAAGAGTAAAACGTGTGCCAACTACAATTCATATACAATTCATATATATAATACAACATCCTTCATTAAGTTTCGTAAGGTGACAAAAATCTATCTCTCAGAAAGACCATATTATTCAGTTGACGAGTTTCTTAATGTATAACAAAGAAACAAAATTAGTATTGTTTATAATTACATTTGGGTGTCTCAAGCAGTGGCTACAATTTGTCTCATTTATTGTCTCATTTCAATATGTAGGTTATACAATAATTTTACTAATTTATAATTGTGTTATTCTGTTTTATACTATATTGTTTTTGTTTTATACTTTTTGTATTATTTGTATTATTTGACCGATTTATTTTTTAGCTTTGTCCATAAAATTGTTCAATAATTTTCAGTGACAATAAAGCATATTTCTATTCTATTCAAATTAAAATCCAGTTTGCCTAAAACGGCCTACACATGTCCTGACTAAACCATCCAACTGTCGTGACCGACATGTTAAAACTTAGGGCCAATTCCCGGAACATTTTAAAATAAAGCCTCATGAAATCAGTACGTTGGGTTAATCACAAAAAACACTTCATCCGCAAAAATGGGGTCAAAGATAAAACGTATGGAAGGTCATAATATACCAGGCAAAATTGAAGCCAACTCCCTGCAGAATCAAATGATTACCGAGGATCAACATATTACTGGGCATACGACTTTTTAGATATCTAATATCTCAGATACCAAAATATTCAGCAACAAAATATGTTCTAACTCCAGTTCTATTAATCTTCATTTTAATTTCCTTGAATTAAATGAAGCAATATCCTTATTAAAAAATTCAGCTGCAGGTTTAGACGATATCTCATAAATATTCTTAAAAAATCTTCATCCAGATACACATCTTAAACTTACTTACGTTATATAATAAGATCTGGTCTCAAAAACTGTTCCCAGCGTTATGGTGACCAGCAAGAGTCATCTCCAAATCTTCCTCATATAGACCAATTTTTCCCACTTGTTTACGGGCGTTATCTGTTAGAAAATATGGTCAAAAAACGCTTGCTATTATATCTAGAAAGAAATAATATTCTTAATCCATTCTAAACAGGCTTAAGATCAAATAGAAATACAATGGATAACTTGGTCAGACTATACACTGACATTGTTAATGCATTTTTAAGTAGAAGCGAAGTGATAACAGCAACTTTAGATATTTAAAGTACCTTTGACACTGTAGAAAGATCCTTTATTTCTCAGAAAATGAACAGAATATGATCTAACTGATAACATTTATTTATTTTTGAAAATATTTTTAAAAAGTTGATTTTTACAGTATTAAAAAATAAAAAAATATCAAAACCAAAAGCTTTGGATACCGGTTTACATCAGGTTTCTGTTTTAAGCACTACATTATTTTTACTTATATTATAATATATGATCCAGTAGCTGCTTACTAAAGTCTCTAAACACAATTTAAAATAAATTCCTACGACTATATCTTGGTGCTTTCAAATTAAAAGACCTCATCTAAAAAGGCAATAACTTAAACTTTCATACTTTGTAAGAATATAAGCAAAGCCAAGTAACCCGGTAATAAATCTAATCAGTACCTTAGAGCTTCTATCTATCTATCTATCTAATCAGCCTTAAACGCCCACTCTTGGGCATAGGCCTCCCCTCTTAATCTCCATTGGTCTCTATTTTGGGCGATCTGCATCCAGTCCTTTCCTGCCGTTCTTTTAAGGTTGTTAGTCCATCTCATCTGTGGTCTTCCTCTTTTTCTTTTCTTTTCCCATTGTCTCCAGTGTAGAATTCCATCTTTCATGTTTTTGCCGGGGAGTGTGACCGGCGAAGTTCCATTTAAGTTTTGCAACCTGTCTTGATACATCGTTCACCTTTGTTTTTTCTCTGATCCATGAGTTTCTTTTCCTGTCTTTAAGACCGATACCCAGCATCTGTCTTTCCATTGCTCTTTGTGTTTTGGATATCCTGTCGATGTTCTCCTTTGTGAAAGTCCCTGTTTGTGAGCTATAAGTGATAACTGGTAAAATGCACTGATTGAACACTTTCGTTCGCATATATTGCGGGAACTTTTTATTTTTTAGAATATATGATAGTTTACCAAATGAGGCCCATGCTAGTCTAGTTCTTCATTTTATTTCTTCTGTTTGATTGTTCCTGTTCAGCTTTATTATCTGTCCTATTTATATGTAATACTTAAATATAAAAATATATATAAAAATATAAAATATAAAAATACTTTATTACAAAAATTAAAAATTTTAACTGCTTCAAAAAATTGACTCTGATTATCGTAGTGAGTACATGGCTAAGAGAAATCCATCATGAGCCCCTTTTATGAATATAAAATAACTGAATTCAAGTTGAGTTTTAGTACATTTAATGGAATTGTTATATTTCACAGAATAATTACCAAGTAAGAAATATTCAAATAGAAATAATTTTATTATGTCTATTACATTAATCACCTAATTGTAAAGGAGGGTCAGTACAACTTGCGCACCTATTGTTATAAGAATAAAAGATTTGTATTTATTGGGTACATCCATAGACCTAAGCGAAGTGTACCGCCAATCTAGGAGTGGGGCTGCAGTCTTAATCGGATTTGATTGATACCGCCCTCTTCACTATTAATTTTATTATTATTATTTTTATTAATTTGCAATTTATTGCGCTTTGGCAATAAATTGCAAATACAGCGCCTCTTTACTGTGTGTGTTATATGCTGACTACAATAGTTTTTAAGTAATTTTTAATAGTAAACACATATTCATCTACGCACGATCACGTCGATTTTTAACTTTTGAAATGTGAAAACGTGCATTTTTTATACCGGACGAAAAAATACGACTTTGCGCCCCTAAAATTAGAACGTAAAGTGCGGAATTTATGCCCAGTGTATTAGATGAAAAATATGTAGATAGCAAAATATAATTAAAGGTTGAAGTAAAAGTACGATACAAAAAAATTATTAAAAATATCTTTTATATTTTTGTTTTGTCAGTTCAACCTAGCACAACTATTGGCTTCTTATAGAGGGGTAAACATTTGTGAAGGTGGTAAATGAATTGCAAAAGCTTTGCAGCATACAGTGGTATTTAAAAATTACTTTTTTAAATTTTTTTTACTTTTATTATGCTGGCTCGAATATTTAGCTAGCGGGAACGTTTGCAAATAAAATTGCTATAGTCGTGGAAAATTATCAGGGTGGTAAAAGTGTGGCAAAAACTCACCAGAATACTTTTTTATTTCAATTATAAGTAGAGTTAAGAGAAATATAAAAAAAAATCGTCATAAATTTTAACCTAACAGAAATATTGATTGATAAAGTACAGTAAAAATAGATTTTTCATCACTTTAAATTTTAACCTAAGAATTGTTGACTTTCCACATGGGTTAGTTGATGGTGAAAAATTACTAGGGTGGTAATAAATTCGTAAAAACGTAGCAGAACCCTGTGGTAATTAAAAAATAATAATTTCTAATAATTTAGAGTTATTTGTTATATTATTTTGTTATATAAATATATATATTATTTCTAATAATTTAAAGTTAGTTTGTTGTTTCAGTTATAAGTAAAGGAGAGTGAAAATGTAAAAGAATATTTTTTCACCTTAAATTTTAAACTAACAGAATTATTGGCTTTCCATAAGAGGCAGTAGAGGGGTGAATAATTACTAAGGCCGTAATAAATTCGTTAAAACCTAGCAGAACACTGTGGTATTTCAAAAATATATTTTTTTCTAATTTCGCTGGCTTAAATATTAAACTAGTAGGAACGTTTCCATATAAGATTCGTTTAGGGGTGCAAGATTATCAGTGTGGTTAAAGTTTAATAAACATTTAAAAAACGGTTTTTTATTTCAGTTATTAGTAAAGGAGAGTAAAAGAACTTTTCCCCTTAAATTTTAATCTAACAGAAATTTTTTCTTTCCACAAAGGTTCGTTAATGGGTGAAAAATTACTAAGGTGGTAATAAATTCATTAAAACCTAGCAGAGCACTGTGGTATATCATAAATATTTCTTTTGACTTCTTCTAATTTTAACTGTAAGCCAGCAAAATCGCTCTCCTTAAGGGTGACTTGGTGGTGAAAAATTATTAGGGTGGTAATAAATTAGTGAAAAATGGGTAAAAAAACATGCCATCAGAAAAAAGATTTTTTTCTGAATTCTGCTAGCTTGAACCTTAAGCCACCAGAATCGCTCCCATAAAGGGTGGTTTGGTGGTGAAAAATTATTAGGGTGGTAATAAATTAGTGAAAAATGGGTGAAAAACTATTACGTAGGTTAAATTGGATTCCGCTCATTTGTCCCCGCTAGCTTAAGGGTCCTCTTTAGAATATTTCCACTCTCACAAAACAAACATATAGACAAACGTAACTAGAAATCATAGAAAATCTAGTATAAATGATCTGAAATTTATTGCTCACTGTGGAAGAGAAGTAAAATAAAAAATTAAAATCAAATATGAATAGTATACTCACTTACTACTTACTGCTACAACCACAAAACTCCTCCTTCGTACCTTAACAGTAACTTTAAATACCCACTGAATATTTTTTATTTAAATCACTTGCATATTTGACCTCTCTTAAAATATTACCGATAAAATTGACTAATGCGGTAAAATTATATTGTTGTTTATATAAAAGATAAATTAAATTGATTGTAAAAATTTCGATGTGCTGAGGACATAATTTGTTATCCAAAATGTTGAGAAATGTTTTCACAATTACAAGATTCTGCAATAAAATAAACCTTTCTACAAAATTTTGCTATTTGGCACAACGGATCTATTAATGGAATCAATAAACAAATTATAATAAAAATAAGATAAGTACTTGTTTTAGTAATTTGAATTCATTTAGTAATGTGAAATGCCTTACATCATAAATGAACTACATATCTTACCTTCCTCGA